CAGACGTCCTCTGGGCACATCCTACCTCGGTTGGGTGCCTGCCTCTGGTGTAGCAGCGAAGAGAAGAGTCTTACTGGCCTCCGTGTTGCAGGCAGGTTGGGGCAAAGCAGGCAGGGGTACCCCAGAGCCGCCTGGGCTGCCCCCATGATCAAAACCAGCCCGGTGGGGACATCAGGGCCATGACAAGCGGTGATGCTGTCATAGCGCAGTACGGTCTGGGGGCAGCATTAAGTTGTGACGCACTCGGATGGAAACATGCAGTTGGAAGGGAGACGCTCAGTCGCTGCTTCCCGCGCTGTGGGGCTGCGCTGGGAGGGATAGAGGGGTCTGCCATCATGGGGGCGGGTGGTCACCTGGGCAAGGAATGTTTTAAAAGATATTGGTGCAGCTTATGATGTTGCCGAGTCAAAAGCATGGGGCAGGGATGGGTAGCCGTCCCCCGCTGCCTGCTATTGCTGCCTGCAGCAGGGCGGAAGGTGATGCACAGGACACTGTCCCCGTGGCAGCCCACCCAACAGGGAAAAAAGTCTGTCCCCAAGTCACTCTGCTCTGTGTGCGCACGGGAGCCCCTCTGCAGTAGAAGGGTGTGCGCAGCAGGGTTGGTGCATGCCAGGTGATGAGTTGTTCTTGGGCATGGGTTGTGCGTGCTGGGCAGGCAGCAGGGGTGGAGGGGGGGGGCTGTGAAGGTGAATAAGGGACCTGACATAGGTACGGTTCCCACTGATATACGTCCCTGATCTGACGGTGCCGTTCATATCCGCGCAGCTGGGGGGGTCTGGGTGCCTGGGGAACCTGACAGAGCTTTGTGGCTGGGTGTAGAGAAAGATATTTTGCTAAGGAAAAGTTGGGGGAAGCCAGCAATCGAGCTCTCATATTGAAATGCTGCCAGGCACGGACAGAGGGAGAATGACTGCAGGGAGGGCGCTTGGTGGCTGTGAAGTCTGTCTTGCAGAATGTCAGGCAGCTGTGGCTGGTCACTGGGCTGGCAGGAGGAAGGGGAGCCTTGACCTGCACAGGGTGTCTTGCAGCGCTGAGAGCCGAGCACTGTGTTGCTTAGCACAGGAACCAGCAGACTGGAAAGGGGACGTGTCCGTAAGAGTTATGATCCATAAAAGAGGCACCCCAGAAAGGGTTAAAACCCTCTGCCAGATGCCTAAATTCCTACCTTAACCCTCCTCTGTCACTTGAGTGCTGGGCTACAGCCCTCGGTACAGTCCAGTCTGTGCCAAAGCTGTGTCCGGGCCAGCTGAATTTCCCCTCTGGTCTGCTCTGAGCTGGGGGAATGTCTTCTCCCTGCCCTGCTTGCGTAGGGCCGTCCCCAGTGGGGCTGGCAATAAGGCTGAGCTGGAGCATCAGAGCCACCTGCCTCTTGCCCAGTGCAGTCCCCCTCCTCCTGGAGACGTTTGCTAGAGCAGGACTCGGGGATGTCCTCTCAGCCTGCTTTCGGGAGGGAGGGCACCAAAGAAAGACGTTGTTGGTTCAGTTAGAAATCCCGCTGGGACAGTACATTCCTAGGTCTTTTTGGTGTTGTGCATGTCTAGGGCAGAGCTGGCTGGCCCTGCGTGCTGCAGCAGTGAGCTCATAACCCAGCGATGACAAAAAACCCCCCCAACCACGCTTGGGGTCGGCTGCGGTGGCATGGGGCCAATGCCCTGCTTTCTCTTGGGCAGTGCTTGCAAGTTCAGAGCTGCCAAGAGGTGCCGTCCTTTCGGCCCAGGGGGAATGACTCCACAGAGCAAACACAGCCTGGAGAGAGGGACCTGCTGAGCGATGAAACCAGTGTCTCTGGTCTCTGCTGACGTGCTTGTGAGTTAGGCTTCAGGACCCTGCACCACCTGTGCTTCCCCAGCAGAAACGGTCTGTGCACCAAAGACCCCGGAGTTTAGTGGACTGACAGGCGGTGGTACTGCCACGGGACCAGAAAAGCGGGTTGGGCTTTGTGGCTGGAGTGCATCTTCTCAGCTAGGACTTGGGCTGAGTCTACCAGCTTTGTTTCTGAGACCGGTGTTGGCTGGGGGTGGCGTTTAGCCAAGCAGAGTCTTGGCAGGATTTAAGTGTGGACGTAAAGTTTTGCATTGCCTTCTCAATCCCCCCAGCCCCCCCCCCGTTTGCCTCTCACTGTCCTCCTGCACAGGAGTGCTGAGCAGCCCCTGCTCCCCATCTCTGAGGTGGGGGTACTTGGCAGCTCCTGGCCGCAGCGGGCTTGTGGGATGCTGTCGGGGCTTGTAGCGGGGCGGCTGGAGCCTTTTGAAGTCACAAGGCAGTTCAGCCTTTGAAGTGTGCACTGGCAGTCCCAGAGCCCAGGTTTCTGTAGCGTGGTGCTCTGCCAGGCTGTTCTCCGGCACTGTGCCATCCAGAATTACTCCCCAAACATCTTCTGACATCAGCTCGTTCATTCGGTGTGCAGCAGCAATCCTCCTGCAAGCCCTGCGTGGGGCTGGGGGCCTGGGGGCCATGGTCCCCTCCGGTGCGGCGCTTCGCCCTGTCCTCCAAAATCCCCGCTCAGCTGGCTCCTGTCTCCCTTCCTTGGGGCGTGGAGCCGACCCCTCTCTGTATCGTCACTGAGCCGGGTGGAAGCCAAGCCATGCGTCCTGTCCTGCCTGCTCTTTCCAAGGAGCTTTTCTGCAGTTTCCAGTCCCCACTTCTCTGTGCCAGTTTTCCAGTCTCCTTTTTGTGTCTGTTGGTTCTCAGCATCTCTCGGCTGCGTCCCTGGCAGTGAGTAAGATCCCTTTCCTTCTGTTTCTCGTGGCGATTCCTTATCATTCACATTGCTCTGAGACGCCTGCTTCTCCCCCTGCTCTGCTCCCAGGTTATGTTCTGAAGGACTTCGGGTTGTTTTTTTCCCCCAGTCTCTTCTCTAGGTGTCTTTGCAGCCTGTGCTCCTCTGGCTGCCTCGCTGCCAGCCCTCCGGTGGGTACCCCCTGCTGACACCTCAGCATCCTGCCCCTCCGGCGCTGGGGCTGCACAAATGGGGCCAGAGTCTAATCTCCGCTCGGGCACTGAGGCCGTACCCCCTCCATGAGCCTCCTGTCTTCCCAGGAGACAAGTGAACCCCGCTTTCTGCCTGCAGATCGGGGCGATCCTTTTCGTCCTCTGAGAAACAAGCCGATGCTGTGCCAGCGTTTCCCCGATAGGGAAGTGCGGGAGGAGCCGGATCCCTGCTCCGTCCCGGCTGCTGCGCCTCTCGGGGGAGTGATGGATGTCCCTTCCCCAGACACCGCTGGGGCCTGTCTGCTGGCCAGCTTTCCTGGGCCCCTGCACGCCTCCAGTTGTACTTTCTCAGCCACCAGCAAGATCTCTCAGCAGCAGCCTCTGGCCCAGTGATAGATGTTGACAGCTGCCTGAACAGCCTGTGCGAGACTCGATTATTTTCCTCCGAGGATGATGCCTTCCAGATCTTGCTCCGAAGCCCTCTGCAAGCGCTGTGTTGAAACCCTCTCCAGAGCCTCCCCGGCAGCAGAACCGTGCTGAGTGCTTCTGGCTTGCAGCCAGCTTGGGCTGGACAAACACTTGGGAGCAGGGCCCTAGAGCATCCTGCTGCAGGCAGGCTCAGCTTGTTCCTGTGCTGAGATGTAGGCAGCAGGTCCTGCCTTGCTCAACTTGGCGGTGTTCAGGCCAGCAGGGAAGGCAGGCTGCTTGGGGTGTTCTGGGGCGGGGGTAGGGACAAGGCCACAGCCACCCGAAGCAGTAGCAGCCCAGCAGTAGGCGAACACCCATCCTGCCTCGACCAGCCACGAGGTCCTTTGTGGTCTTCATGAATGACGGTCTGCTGGTGTCTCTGCAAGCCCCGGGCCAGCGCCCTGCTGAAGTCTCTCCCGAAGCTTAAGCGTGCTCCTGGCCAGCCTCCCACGGGAGCATCACATCGCTTTTGAGCACTGGGGTGCTGCCAGCAGCCTGCCTCTGCCAGCCCAGGACAGGCAGCCAACGGCAGGGAGGTCGCTGGCTGTGGTGTGTCGTGGCATGGAGCTGCTGGAGGTGCTGGGGCAGGCTGAAGTCCTGCCGAGCAGGGTGCAAGCATGCACCATCAAAGTCCGGCCCGAAGGCTTGCTCTCCTGGGTCCTGGGCCTCCTGAAGGCCATCCCTTTGGCCAGCCTGGGACACCCTGGAGCGGGGAGAAGTGTATCTCCCAAGGGACTGGAAATGTTTGGCACACCTCACTATCATGCTGCTAATGCCGTGCCACTGTCACGGGCAGACAGACAGGGAGGGGAGGAGAGGGGAGACAGCCAGGGCCATGCCCCAGCACCGTGCCCAGGGTGTGCGTGGGTTTGCAGGTCCCACGGTACCCAGGAGAAGGTGCCTGTAGCCCTGAAACAAAGCCAGTTGGCTGGCCAGGCCAGGCCGGGGCTGGGCAAGGATGAACTGGCCTGGGGCTGCCTCAGCCTCCAGTGCCCCTGAGCCAGCCTGGCGTGCCCCCTCCATCCCCGGAGCAGCTCCCCTGACCTGGCATCTCTCTCCTGCTGATCCCCTGCTCTTCTCTCCGCAGGCGCTGTACGGCTCCATCAAGAACGAGAAGCTGCAGTGGGCCATGTGAGTATCCCTCTTGGGGGATGCTGCCGCCTGGTGCAGGGCGGGCAGCGGGGCCACCCTGCTGGCACAGGGGTCTTCCTTGCCCTTGCTGCCCTCACAGCCAGGGCATCGTCCTGCCCTAGAGGCCCCGTCAGCTGTGATGCTGCAGGGCTGTGAGGATGTGGGATGGGATAAGTTGAGATGGGATGGGGGTGCCTGGAGAGCTGCGGTGGCAGTGTACCCCGGGCTGCCCTCAGCACCTCGATGGGGACCCCTTCCCTGGCATGCTGGGGGAAGGCTGCCTGAGGCCAGCTCCACGCAGCTTTGGTGTTGCTTCATGCCTTGGCGGCCATGCCCATGGTGGGAGCGGGCAGGCTCTAGGGGGGCCGTGGCTGTGCCAGGGCCCCGCAGGGTGCCTGCACCCTCGCCCACAGCTGCCATCTCCAGCAGCAGGAGCGGCAGCGCCCGCGCTGCGGGGGGTAATTCGCC